CTGGAAGGAGGCTCCGGGCTCTGAGCTGTCAGCACAGAGCCTGAAGCGGGGCTCGAACTCACAGACCGTGAGATCATGACCTGAGCCGAAGTCAGACGTTCAACTGACTGAGCCACCCAGGAGCCCCAATAGTAGGATACTTTTAAACCCAAGGCCCCGCTCACGAAAGAAACATCCCAGAGGCAAGTCAGCTCAATAGCAGATAAGAGGCAAAGTTCTGTGCCCCCAAAAGAAATGGGCATGATACAGGGGTCCAAAATGAAGTAGAAATGCCGAACCACACAACCCCCCTTCCGCTACCCTGAGGTCATCCGTGCCTAGGCCTCGTCACCAGCTGGGCTCAGCACCGTCTCCAGGTTCTGTGGGGCTGACATGCAAACGACCAGAGCATTCGAAAGGACGCGTTTGCTGTCAGCAAACTGGGTTATAGTCGTGATTGTGCAACTAGCCGCCTGGCGACCGTGGACAAATCTCTCCCCCTCGTGCATCTTGGTGTCCTCAGTCACGAGACAAAAGAATGAGGCAAACTTCCATTTCGTCGTCACACCCTGTGACTGCCACCCTCCAGTCTCTCCCCAGCCAACGCATCTGCCCCATCCACTTCGAGGTGGTGGGGAAGTCCTTTCGAAGCGCAAATACTACCCCACGGCGTTCAGCCCTTATCTTAGCAGTGGCGCCCAGCCACTTAGATCTCAACAACGAACAAAACAGAACGAAACACAACAGGCGATGCTGAGTCGCCAACTCTTAATTTTGCCAAGTAAATCCGTGAGAAGCAACACCATCATTTAGTAAAATAAAAGGCGTTTTAGCATAAATGTAAGAGCAAAAGTATTTTAACAAAATATACAAGGACACAGTCACAGAAGAGGGGAAAAAAAGCCATCTTTTATAGGAGACAGATTTCGCTGTATGGAAAACCCTGCTTCTTTGTCTGTTTTTCTTCTTCTAATTTCACCGTAAATCGGTGCAAATTTGCCACAGATTACGACTCATCCTTTATAGGACTAGCATTTGGTAACTGATAGACCACCATACTGAACTTGAAAGCAGGTAGCTGTAGAGTTAATTTCTTTCTTCTTAAGATTTTAAATCACAACATTAAAAATCCTGGCACATTTCATGCATTCATCTGGCTTCCCAACTTCTTTTAAAACATTTAAAGCTTTGACGACGCTGGGCCCACATTCCCATAGGACACCAAATAAAGCCCCCCTTGCGTGGGCTCTGCAAAATCTTCACTGAGAGTCCTCATCAGAAAGGAGGGAGGGACAAGTAGACAGTTTGCCTTCAAGAGACACCCGGTACCGCTGAGTTCTTCCTTAATCCCATTCAAGCGACCGTCCTTAAAACACCACCCCGATCTTATCTTCTGATCTTTCCTGAGCTTCCTATGTCCCAGGCACAGAGCTCCTGTATTTGAAAAGTAAAGTGCCATCCTGGTTCAGCTGGACCCCCAAGTGGCTGGGGGAGGGGACCACAGGAAGGGTTGGGCGCTGTGGTAAACTCCCAGACTCCACCAGGGGGCAGCTCAGGGTCATGAAAGCACCGACGGGGACCCAAGGGAAGTCCAATACAAAAGCTAGGGCCCAGAAAGAGGAAGAAGCTGTCCTTGTGCCTTGAGGGAAGAGTTATCGTGAATTCTGTTGGCCTCTGAAGTTTCTGGAACTTGGGGGATTCTGGGGGAGGAGGAAACCGGTGGAGACCTTGGGAGATAGTCATGATACTTCCATCCCCTGGTGCCCTTCTGCCCATCCTCACTGGCAAAGCACTAGTTCAGATCTTCGTTGTTCTCACCAAGACTGTTGCAAAACCGGTGGTTAACTGACCTTGCTTCCTCCTGTCTCCCCCTTCCAGCCCCCAGTCCGACCGCCAAAACGGCAGCTTCCTGTCACTTCCCTCCCGAAACGTTTGGTCACTTGATGACCCGCTGGGTTAGGATGCTGTCCTCGAGCGGACACACGATTCTTCGGATGTCCCAAATCCTGTCTTTCCAACTTCATCTCTTACCACCGCCTTCTCTGTACCCTTGATCTAAGTGAAGAAAGGCACGAGTATTACTAACAGCTATCTCCCCAGCTAGACTGTAAGCTCCGTGAAAGCAGGTACTGTGTCTGTACTAGAACATTCTATCCCCGGCATCCAGCCTATGCCTGGCACACAGTAGGCATCCAATGTCTATTTGGTGAACAAGTAAGGGAATGATTGAGTCGTAATGTGATCTCCCCTTTATTGAGTCCTTCAGCTAGTTCATTTAACCCTCACACAACCCTCTGAGCAAAACCGTATGCCCCTTTTGATTTGGTGAGACTGAGGGAAGTTGCCTTCCGTGCCCATGGTTACACAGCTCATAACTAGCAGTGCCAGCAATGAAATCAAGGGGAATGACTACAGAATACATCCATTCTTCCGGCTCTAATTACTTCAGGCAGTTTGAAAAACAGCCTTCAGAATGTCTTTTGGCTGCAAGACTTTGCATTTGAGATTATTTTGTGTTCCACTTGCACCCCAATTAAGCTACAGTCTACACTCTCAGGAGGCTGGTCTGTCCCCTTTCTGCCCTGATCAGCTGGTGTCCAAGCCTTCCTGGTTATGTATCCAGATTCTTCTCCAAACTGACCTAGATTTAGCAATATCTGCCAAGAGGTAGAGGAGTAATGGTCAGAGAGGTTGCAGGAGAAACCAGAAAAAGATTTGGTCCAGATGCAAAGAAGGAAAAGTTCCAAAATGGATGTAAGGGTATGAAGTGTAAGGAGAGACTCTGGATTTGATCATGAATAACTATCCAAAGATCAACGTTCATAGAGCGACGGGGCAGGAGGCAGAACACGGGGGCCTGAGCACGTGGTCTACAAGGAATCAGAGGGTGTGACTGGAGAGGAATTGTCGTCACTTTGGCAGTAAAAGCCAAGACAGAGCTCCTGGAGCACAGAGGGAGGCAGCAGGGTCTCATCCTCATTCCGCGCATCTGTAGACAAAGTGCTATCGCATGGTCAGAAACGCGGGCTCTGGAAAGAAACTCTCTGGGTTCCAATCTCCACACTGCCACATAAGCGTACTGTTAGCTGGACAACTTACTTAGCCTCTTTGTGCTTTGTTCCCTTCTAGATTTAATAACCACATCTTCTTGGGGCACTTGGGTGGCTCAGTTGGTTAAGCATCCAACTCTCGATTTCGGCTCGGGTCATGATCTCATGGTCTGTGGGATCGAACCCCACATCAGGCTCTGTGCTGACAGCGTGGAGCCTCCCTTGGGATTCTCTGACTTCCTGTCTCTTTCTGCCCCCACCGCCCGCTTATGTGCACTCTTCCTCTCTCTCTCAAAATAAATAAATAGACGCTTTAAAAAATAATGGTAACCAAATCTTCTTTATCAGGTCACAGGAACGTGACTGCATAGATGAAACACTTAGCTCAGATCAGACCCATAATAACAAGCCCTCGATTAAGGTAAAGTACTCTTGTAATTAATTAAAACATGAGGAGCCAGGGAAGACGGGCAGAGGTGGTCATGAAAGGGAATGAACAGCAGTGGAAGCACTGGCCTTAAACAGGATGACAATCCGGGCTCTGAGCAAAGCACGAGAGGCAACTCAGGTGGTTGGGATAGAAAGAACGTTTTAGGTCGGTCAAACTTTTCGCCCAAAAGCCTGAAGTTTTGATCTCCATGCTTTATGCCAATACATATCTATCGTAAATAAACAGGCATAGGGCGCCTGGGTGGCGCAGTCGGTTAAGCGTCCGACTTCAGCCAGGTCACGATCTCGCGGTCCGGGAGTTCGAGCCCTGCGTCAGGCTCTGGGCTGATGGCTCAGAGCCTGGAGCCTGTTTCCGATTCTGTGTCTCCCTCTCTCTCTGCCCCTCCCCCGTTCATGCTCTGTCTCTCTCTGTCCCAAAAATAAATAAATGTTGAAAAAAAATAAATAAATAAAACAGCATTTAAAAAAAAAAATAAATAAATAAATAAACAGGCATAGACAGAGAACTCAACAAGCCACCATTACGTTTAACTAGATGAGCAGGTTAGTAACATAGGAGACAAGACTGAGACAAGGATAGAAGAGGTTCTGGAACCTGGTGGGGAAGATTTGGGACAGCCATCATGAAAAGCGCTGCATGAGAGGAACAAAAAACATGAAATTGCTTGAAGCGTCAGGTTATGTAGAAACGCGTTAGACTACCAGACAGGTGTGCAGTTCTCCTCAGCACATCTGTCATCAGGGAGGGGTGGGGAAAGTGACAGGGGCAAAGAACGAAGGTTAGGAAACAGGTCTGTCAGGCAAGGCCTTGGGAGGAGCAGCTCACCCTGGGATACAGACTGAATGGACGACATCTGGAAACCAGGTGGAGCCTGATGGACTTGGAAAAAGAGACAAGCAGATAGAAACACGAAGGAGGGTGAGAGCAGAGTCAGCACGTGTGATCTAGTGGGAAATGGGACCAGTTACGGAGTTGGGATAGGAGGCAGAGTCACTGAATCCCACCTGTTGCAGACTGGGCTTCGTCCCTAGAAGTCACGAGCAGTCATGTTGGGTGGTTGATTTGGAGCAGAGGCAGAGGTCCGGAGAAGAGAGGGAATGCTTGGGGGTGTGGTGGTCACTGCAGATGACCCCAGGGAACAGAAAGGGGAAATTGTGCTCTGGAATCAAGGGAGGTAAGGGTGGGTCCTTGGAGGAGGGTGGGCAAAAGTGAGAAAATAGAGAAAAGGGCACAAGCAGAGACTTCAAGCCATTGTCATACAACAATAATGGTGAACAAGAAAGAAACAGATCGAAGGAGAGACTGCCACAACACTTCAGTGGACATGCAGGGGGAGGTGGAAAGGAGGAGACGGAGGGGAAGGAAGAGAAGGGTATGTACCAAGAGTGTGTGTGAGTTCACATCCACTGACCTGTGGGGATGGCGTCCCCTGGAGTTGGGCTCCGTGCAACCTGGAACACTGAGGCACAGCGTGAAGGGAGCACGCTAGTGAACGGACTTTTCTCTCCCATCTCATCCTTCCCAGCTAGTTCAGGAACATTCCACGTCCATTTCTGTATATTGTCTGCACTTGGTTGTGAGTGTACGGCTGGCTCTCTTCCAGGATAAATCATGTCTCAGCCCACACATCACCTCTTCAGACAGGCTTCCCTGACCACTGGCCATCCGTCCCCCAGCCCAGGTATGGTCCATCACATCACCTTGTTTTAATTTGCGTCTATTTAATTTGCGTGATTTTTAAAATTTACGTCCATTATTACGGAGATTGAGCTTAATGTTCCCCATTTCCTAAGAGAGTGAGGTGGCCACGATTTTTGCCGTGTTCAAAGCCCCTCAATTGTTCTTCCCCCTATTCTGGCCTCTCTTTCAGTCCAACGGCCTCGCTCCCACCTTAGCTACCTGCTTGCCACCGTTGTGACTTCCCAGTTGCACTATGGGTCCCTCAAAGCCCACTTCATGGCTCACGTCCGAGGAACCTCCTTGATCTGTCCTACCGAGAGCATGAACCACACAGCGCCTCACTCTGCTCACTGGCTTTTTTCCTGCGTGTTAAGTCCGGTCCCTCTAACCAGACTGTAGCCTTGATGTGAGATCCAGTGGTTCTCAACCCTGACTAAGCATTAGGGCCCTTTAAAAAAAAATTTTTTTAACGTTTATTTATTTTTGAGACAGAGAGAGACAGAGCATGAATGGGGGAGGGTCAGAGAGAGGGAGACACAGAATCTGAAACAGGCTCCAGGCTCTGAGCTGTCAGCACAGAGCCCAACGCGGGGCTCGAACTCACGGACCATGAGATCATGACCTGAGCCAAAGTCGGCCACTTAACCGACTGAGCCACCCAGGCGCCCCTAAGGCCCTTTTAAAGTACAGGCCCGGGTCCCATCACTAGCCAACCGAATTAGAATCTAGGGAAGAGGGTACGGCGAGTAAGGCTGGGGTATTAGTGTTATTTTAAAAAGTTCCCTGGGTGTTTCTAAGGCATAGAGAGGGTTGGGAACCACTGCAGAGGTGAAAGAAAGGAGCCCCATAATAAAGGTAACCCTTAATGAAACACTGCAACTCTTACACTGATGTTCGTTAAGGAGCATCAGAAACTCAGGAAACTTGACACATCAGGGACCACTTTTTGTGCACTTTCGTCTCGCCATGTGCCTGGTTTTAAAAATACCCCAAGGGCACCTGGGTGGCTCAGGGGGTTCAGTGTCCAACTCTTGATTTCTGCTCAGGTCATGATGTCAGGAGATCGAGCCCTGCGTTGGGCTCGGAGTTGGGTGTGGAGCCTGCTTAAGATTCTCTCTCTCCCTCTGCTCCTCCCCAGCTCATGCTTTCTCTCTCTAGTTCAAACTAACTAACTAGATAGATAGGTAGATAGATAGATAGATAGATAGATAGATAGATAGATAATAACAAGACTCCCAAACTTGGTGCTAGAACCCCGCCCCTGCCCACTTTGTATCTCACTCTCCTAGGGCCTAAAATTTAAGAAGTGTCTCTGGGGAGCTCATGACACGTTCAGCAGGTAAATGATCCGCTAAAATATTCTATGTGTATCATTTACAGAATCATGTTGGACACCAATCCCAGTGGCGGAGACATCACAGCTGGGAACTACTTGGTGTTATTTTAACCACGTAGCAATACCTGAGCTGCGTGCACCATTACCGGTGTCTCTAAGAGCCACACGTGCCCCCAGCCCCACTTTCACCGTGGTGAAAATTCTCCTACAGAGTAATGGAACTTCGCTGGTTCCCAGTGTAGGGAAAGAGCTCGTGGAACTCTGCCTGCTCTCCAGAGGACTCGGTCAGTTGTTGATTAACCATCTCCGCGCTGAAGCTCCACACCATGTGAGAGGTTTCATAACAATTTCTAAGAAGGATTTGTGGTTTTTGAAGCAAAATGATTCAGGTAAAGAGCCTGGGCGCACTGATGAAATGTCTTCTCGGGAAACAAAAGAAGATAGGGGCGCCTGGGTGAGTTAAGCATCTGACTTCCGCTCAGGTCACGATCTCGCGGTTCGTGAGTTCAAGTCCCACTTCTGGGAACACGAGCCCCACTTCGGGTAAAACATGAGTCCCATTATTTTGGGGTGAGCCCTGCTTCTCTCTCTCTCTCTCTCTCTCTCTCTCTCTCTCTCTCTCTTTCTCTCTCCCTCCCTCACGGGATTTTCTCTCTCTCTCTGCCCCTCACTCACTTGTACTCCCCCCCCCAAAAGAGAAAAAAAATGGGATGCCTAGGTGGCTCAGTCTGTTGAGCATCTGGCCCTTGATATAGGCTCAGGTTGTGATCTTGCAGTTGTGGGATCGAGCCCCACGTTGGGCTCTGCGCTGAGCATGGAGTCTGCTCGGAATTCTCTCTCTCCCTCTCTCTCCGTCCCTCCCCTGCTGGAGTGCTCTCTCTGTCTCTGTCTCTCTCAAAATAAATTAATTAATTTTAAAAAAGAGAGAGAAAACAAGACAGTTTTTTTTTTTTCCTTTTCAGATTAACTAATCTTAGGGAACAGTATTGAAGGGTCCATTTATTTGTACAATTAATCTCAAGCCTTTCTTTCTGATGGCTCATTTTGTCACATGCTGGAATTTGGAAATTTCTTAACAAATTCTGTCTGGAAGGCAAATAAAAAAAGCATAGGGTTGGTTTTTTTATTTTCAAGGTTGACCTAGGCCCATTTAGCTTTTATGTAACATGAAGGAAAGTTCCAGAAGTGGTTGAATTGTAAAGAAGACTAGCAATGAGGAGAAATGGAGGCAGAGCATAGTTATCTGTTTTGCATTCTTTCTCCAACAAGGTCTCCTTGAGAGTATGTTGTCTTTACTGCTGGAAGACTAATGGGGCCCCACTGCTGGGCATCAGACCTGAGAAGCTCTGAGGTCAGTGATGACAAGAAGGAGAGAGCAAGAAAGCCTTTTCCCCCAACGAGGAGGAGAAAAGGTGAGTTCTCGCTGCCGGGATCGAGCAGATCAGAAGCCCAGATACCTTCTTACCACCTCAGACCACCCAAGAGGTGAGTGCCAAGCCCAGAGGAAGCAGGAACGTCACCCTTACAGCCTCCTGGGGGCTGGGACCTTCTGTCAAACAATGGCCACCCGAGGGTAAGGAGGACCATGCTGGAGTTACTGGCGGTAATATACAAATATACTGCAGCACATACAACTACGGAGGCATTACGCTACGCACCCGAAACTAATATAATGTTACGTCAATTATTCTTCAATAGATGTATACATATATGCAGTGTAGGCACCCCAAAATACACCCCGGGCATAATGATTATTCTGAGCTGAAGGCAACAGAGAAGAAGCAGATACAAGGAAAGTTCTCTGCCTTCCTCCCAGTTACTTAAAAGCATGATATAACTTTGTGAAGGGGTTCCCCTCCCCTCTCTGCCAAGAAGGACAAAAGTTACCCTTGCCAGCCCAGAGAAGGCACCAAAGGAAGAGATATAATAACATTTACTCAGCAGCCCTTGCCTTCCATTAGCTCCCCCATATATCTGCCTTCCACAGTTTGCCACCCTAAGAAATCAAAGTCCTTCTGCTGTGTCTGATAGCTCCTCTGAAAATATGTGGTCCTTTTGTCAAGACGGTGTAAGTGTCCCAGTTCTGATCACCCCTTTGAGTTACTCAGCACTGGGTGCTCCTGTGTGTGCTTTGATTAAGAGACACTTATCATGATGAGCACTGAATGAGGTATAGAATTACTGAGTCACTATATTGTACACCTGAAACTAATATGACACTGTGTGGTAACTACATTGGAATTTAAATGTTTTTAAAAAGTATAGGACCAGGGAATGAATGGGGAAAACTGGTCGGCTCTCGTCCTGTTCTCATTCGGTGGTTTGCATTCTTTACGCCTTAGGAAACGTAGAAGGAAACTGGCACAAGGCCAAAGCGACTGGCACCTACATGACAGATGAGGACATCGTGTCTACACATTTGAGGAATTACTTCAGAGCTTCTCACCCTCTCTAAAATCAGAGGTGGGAGAGTCTCACAGAGAGACTGCCTCAGAACACCAGAGGATAAGACTAAGTTAGGTTGTCTTTTCCATTCACCTGTAATTCCCACGTGCAACTACAGTTCCAGCTTCCGGAAAACAAGCTAAGCCTTCTTCTCATCTAAAAGCACCCACTTCTAGGGGCGCCTGGGTGGCTCAGTAGGTTGAGCGTCATCCAACTTCCGCTCAGGTCATGATCTCACGGTCCATGGGTTCGAACCCTGCATCGGGCTCTGCGCTGACAGCTCAGAGCCTGGAGCCTGCTTCGGATTCAGGGTCTCCCTCTCTCTCTACCCCTCCGCCCTCTTTGTTTCTCTCTCTCTCAAAAATAAGTACATATTAAAAAATATTTCCAAGGACCCACTTCTCTTCAGGCTCTCTGACCCACTACTCTGGGGCATCATCGCTCAGTCAACTGAAAAGGCAAATGTCTAAAGCCAGCAGTCAAACCAGAGTCCCTTCAGCAGAGCTCAGTAAGAGCACCCTCACACCAGATGAGTACCTCCCAGGGTCGAGGCTGCTGGCGAGTAAGGAGAAAGCAGAATACACACCTCTTTTCCGGAAACAGCATCCTTGGCACAGCGACACTATGGAAGATCTAACACTTACTCCTCATAGGAACCTGCTACTCAAGCTAGTTTTACCACTGCCTTCACTATCCTCAGTGGTGGCTACGTTTACCTTAAAAACAAACCACAAAAACCAAGTCGGTATCAATGGGGAATCCTGCAAATTGAGAAACTCTTTGCCAAAAGGGTGGGCAACTCTCTTCTCTCTGAAAACGGTGAACCTCCCAGGTGCTCATGTGTTTCATACTGCTGTTACTAGAGTTAGTGAACAAGTGTGCGCAGTCAGACGGAAGGGCCTAGAATCTACGTCCACCTGTGATACGGAGTCGCATGGCCATCACGTCTATTTCAACACTACCTTAGACTATCTTGGATTCGATACTAATTATGAGCTTTGAATAATTACCTATGAGCGTCTAGGCATGTTAGGAATTTTTAGAGGTGCGTGTGTATGTGTGTGTTTGCACATGGGGTGTCGGATTTGTCTTTAAATATCATAGTACATCCCAAGTTGCTTTGTCCTCCATACATCTGAAAAGTGAAACATTTATTCCACTTCTGGGGATATTCTCATTGACCCTGAAGGGGCCCAGGGTAAGTCTCCCCCAGAGTATGCCACTTTGGCACGTGAAGTCTTATTTTGAGCTAGAGGCAGTCAAGATCCAGTAGACTCAAGAGAAACAATATATGTGGTGTTCCCATACATACAAAATCAAATTTGATTTTCTCCTGTTAATCTGTCTCATGCCAATTTAGTTCTTAGACCAACCAGAAGAAATTTTGTAGAGGGAAAACTTTTCCCCCAAGAATGCTTATAAATAATTCTTCATATCTTGCCTTGACTCAACTACTTGCCAGATCAACACCCGATAAACAAACAATATGCACCGCACAGGAAGAAGACTTTTTTTTTTTTAACGTACTTGGTCTCAGGACCATGATCACAACCTGGCTGCTTAAAGTGTGGTCCAGGGACCAACAATACAAGCATCAAGGAATTGAAATGCATAATCTTCATCCCCACCCAAACCTACAGAACCACAATCTGCATTGAAACCAGAGCTTGGGTGATCGGTCCTCACATTAAAATTTGAAAAGCACTAGCCTAGAGCAGTGTTTCTCCCAAGGGAGGTAAATTGCTCCTCTCCCTGAGAATCACTGGGTTGCCCCCCTAAAAAGTAAGTTTCTCCATTCTACCACAGTGAGTGACGCAATTTCTCAAACTTTAGATTGCCTAAATCTAAAGCTTAAACTAATCAACGAGTACATTTACTATAAAGACACACACACACACACACACACACACACACACACACACACACGGCATTGGAAAAAGTTGCAAACGCAGAGAAACTGCCTTTAGTAGATGAAACACCCGAGAAGGTTCTGTTGAGCATTTGTAATGAAATGCAGAACAACTGGTTAATTGTGTTAGAGAGGAAAGGGAGTAAATTGTGAATAACGACATCATTACTCTAGTTCATACATTACGTGTACTCCTTTGAAACATTATTTAAAAATTTATTTGATTCTAATAGGTTACTTTCAATACAGGGGAAAGAAAGCGTTTTTGTATCCATCAGATATGAAAAGAAAAAACTCAAAGTGCCAAAAAATATATATTCTGCATTTGTCCCTCTTTTATACAGGTATAATCTTTACTTATAATCGCTGGTAGTGATTTTCTTTTCAAATACCAAGTTGAAAAATGTCAGTCCGTCCCTGCTTTTCCACAGAAGAGTCAGTCTACTTTTGTATGTTTAGAAAATCCAGTGGGACGCAATTTTCACTTTTCCTCTGGATATTTGACATCAGAAAACATGACTCTGTTAATTCCATTTTCCTAAGTCCCTGCAAGATCCAAATTACCCCCACAAACATCATCTAGACATCGGGACATATATATACTGTATAACTCTCTACTTACACCTAGCTCGAGTTGTAGAATTACAAAATGATTTACCTCATAATATTAAGTGTATTAAAAAGATTAACGCCCAAGACTTCGTTTTGACTTCACACTCTCACGGAAAGCTATGCAGAAGAAAAGGAGACATTTTCACAGGAACGGGAAATTACATTTGAAAAGCAAGAGCAATTTTTAACACCTTTGGAATCTTACTTCCAGAAAGGTCACATACCTCAGAGTATAGGATTCCCATGCTGGCCCTCCACAGATTTGCGTCACCCCTACAGCTTCTTGAATCTTCCGGAGGTATTTCTGATTCACATAAAATCCGTCCCGGCCCAGAGAA